GAATAGCGTTGAAGACTGAATTTCACTTAATATAAAACACCATGCTGTCAATTTACAATGTCCACTTGCAGCTGTCTGCTTTTTAAGGTCCCAGTCCTATTTTCCACATCATTCTTCCCTACCTGGACAATTGTAATGTCATCCTAATGATGGCCCTGCTACCTCTCTTGTCCTCCCTCCACTCTTGCTCCACACAGCTGCCAAATGCCCAGGGAATCTCATCAGAAGCACTAGGACATTTGTGTGGAACATTCTTCATTGTGCAGGACGTGAAGGATGTTTAGTGTCCTGGGCATCCTTTAATGCCAACAGAACACTCAAATCATTGTGACAAACAGAAATGTCCCTGCCTGTTTCCAAGCATCTTCTGAGGGTGACTGTCCTGCCTCTGTTGAGTGCTATTGCTAACACAACATTTTAGGGGCAAATTGATATCATCTTTAATTAAAATCTTGTCATGATAAAAATTAAAAGCAAGTGTTTTTCTGACTTCACATTTTACTTAGGATAAACTACAGCTCCTTCACCATGATCGTCAGGCTTCATGTTGATGGTGCTCCAGCCCCCTCGACCTTATGTCTGAGGACCACATCAAGCTCAGGTTCTCATGAGGGCCTTACCCCACATGCTGTTTTCTCCATCCCAGTGCCCATCCCATCTCCTCTTCCACCTGGAAGATTCCTGCCTCCCTGCAACTTTCAGCTAATGTCTCCTCTCCTCCATTAGCCTTCCCTGTTCTGATTATATCAAGAGGCCTCCCATCCTGTTTTCTTCTACCACTGTCTCCTTTCCTAGTTTGTAATCCCTCATGCACTTATTTGTTCACTTGCTTCTTTTCTCTCTTCTCCCACTAGTTCCATGAGGACAGAAACAAAGTCTGTTCTGTTGGTGACTCTGGTGCTGGGTCCTGAAGATGCTTGGTGACTCTGGAGATCCCCAGTGCTATTGGAAGGACCTGCCAAAAGGAATATTCAGCTTACTTTCCAGAGGGGTTTGGGGGAGAATCAAAGTACCTCAGTTCAGTGCAGTCATAGTTGGCGCTGGTAGCAAATGTATGTTGCTCTTGTATCCATAGGTATCAAAGAGCCTGAGAAAGCCCTGAAAAAGTGGTGAGAAGAAGCAGTCCAAAGTTTCCTACATCGAAGAACAGCTTGGAAATGGCCAGGAGAGGGCTGGGCCTGAAGGGGAGTTGGATCTCGTAGTGAATGTCATAGTGAATGTTCATCTGTTGCCTTCACCCAAATGGGAACACTTCCCTGTTCCTCACTCCCACCCTGGGATGTCTGAGAGCCCTGATCTCAAATAAAGTGGGTGAGGGGAAAATGCCAATTTTTAAGCTTGACCTTATGAATTTAGTCAGAAGAGAATGAGTTTATTTGGAGACAGCTCGATGAACTTTTTGAATTAGAGATCCAGCTGCTTCCCTTCTGATCCAGCTCCCTGATAATGGCTTGGGGGAAGCAATGGGAGACACCCAAGTATCTATTTCTAAGGAAATGTGAATTTCCTTAGAAAGCTGAGTTCAATTATAGAAAATGATATATATATATATATATATATATATATTTTGCACAGGAAGTTTTGTGTCCTAAAGCTCATAGCTAGAATAGTGACAATGTTAATAATAGTCATCCTGACTAATGTCCCACAGCGCTTTACATGTTTGTGTCTAATCCTTACACTGATGCACCAAGGATGTGGTGGAGCTGGTGTTGTGTCTGCAAGCTCACATCCTGGTTGCTGGGCCTGGTGCTGCAGCCTTGGTGCTCAGGGAAGTTTAGACACACAGATCAAACAACTAGTAGCCTGTCTGTTTTGGAGTCCTTGGGTGACCCACTGCCTGCCCAAGTTATGTGTTATGTGGATCTGTCCAGAAAGGGTGGGAGGAGGTCTGGGACTTGCAGACAGCATTTCCTGGAGATTCCTGGACTGGTGGAAGTCAGGCCTCTCAGCATTCCCCCTTTGTGTCACTTGGCAGGCATGCTCAGGTTGGACTGGTTTCCAGTAGCCTTTCTGCCAACGAGTTTGAGACTTGGACAGGTTTGCTGGTAGAACTGTTTCCCCTACCTGGCTAGGTCCTAAAGCTATGGTGCAAGCAATTCTGAATGAGTCCTCTCTGGACTCAGGGACTTGAGGAGAGCTGCTAAACTCCTCAGATATTGACTGCGCCACATGGGGCCAGATGAGACATTGCCATGCAGGCAAGCTATGAGCTTTGGCCTGGCCTCTCATTCAGGCCACGGGAGGCTGCAAGGCTGCCAGTTTTAGCACCAAATCTTACACGTGTTGTCAAGGATCCCTCAAACTTGAGGTTGAATGATAAAATTAATAATCAAGTTAGTGGTAATATTGAATTTTTTGAATATATACCTTAAATATAATAGTAACATTTATTGAATAACCATTCTGTATTAACTGCTATACTGATCATTTTCCTATATTAGGTCAGTTAGTTATTGTAATTTTGCAGGAGCTACAATTACTGTCTTCATTTCACTGCTGATGAATTTGAGACTTAGAGACATTTAGAAATAATATCCAAAGTCACATAGCTGTACCCTGGTTAGAGCGGGATTCTTAATCACTGTGCCACGCCTTACAATCATAAGCATAGTGATTTTGGCTTTCCCTCTATGCCCGTACTGTAGTAAGAGCTTTATGACTAAGGTCACTTCCACAGTTATATGCAGGATGTGACAGAGGAAATATTTAGATAACTCCAAATTGTTGCCACATTCCTCCCCCAAGTCAGTTACTGACACTTGAGGTTAAACTCATCTGTGTCAGCACCAGAGGTAGTGAAAGCATCCCATAGGCTTGGGCAGTCTTCACCTCTGTGGCTGGGTGTGGGTATTGAGCACAGGCTAACAAGGTTCTTCTGCCATCCCTGGGAGCCGGCTGCATATCCACTGGGCTCTCTGGACAAGGCTCTTAGTATCTCTGAAGAATGCACTGCTCTGGTAATTCAGAACTAATTGCTAGATAAATACTCTTTCCCCATTATGCAGGTGTGGAATGTGAAATGCAGAAACCTGAAGCGACATGCCTGAGGACACACGGTGAGTAAGCCACAGCACTGGGCTTTAAACCTGGGTCTGTCCTGCTTTGATGCTGCTGCTCCTGTAACATCCATTCCTCTGCTGCTCAGCTTTGAGGGATCTTTGAAGCTTTCCTTCTTTCATTTCATTCCATGCAAGACATCAACAAGATTTCAGGACCTTGGAAGAAACTGAGAATCTGACAAAAATCACTTAAATAATGTGTTCATAGAGATGTCCTTCTTTCTTTCAACATTTCTCCCACATCTGCAGGATTACTTTGCAGATGTGTTGGCCATATAAATCACCCAGGAGCTTTTTTTTTTTTTTTTTTTCCCCCCAGGAGCTTTTGAAGAAAGTGTGGCCTAGGTTTTGGCAAGGGATAAGAAGGAAGAGATCTATGTTTCTAATTAGCCATTCTCTTTTTCAGTTTTGGTAGCACTGACAGAGAGGACAGAGCCCTGGCCTAGCAGCCTGGAGTCTTGGGTTCCTATCAGGTTCTGTCAGTGCCTTGCCTCATGGTTTTGGTCAAGCACCGTCCTCAGTGTTAGCCTTTGTTCCCCCATTTATCAAACGAAGGGAATTAGAATGAACCATGGTCCCAAATTGGTTTCTTGTTTTCCTGGAATATATGTTTTGTTCCACCTGTACGCAGAGAGAATAATGGTGTGTGTGTGTGTGTATTTGTGGCACTGTGGAGTAGCAGGTTAAACTTTTGTCTGCGGTGCTCGTATTCCACATGGGCACTGGTTTGATTCGTGGCTGCTCCACTTCTGAGCTAGCTCTCTGCTATGGCCTGGGAAAGTAACCAAAAATGGCCCAAGTCCTTGGTCCCCTGCACCCACTTGGGAGACCCAGAGGAAGCTCCTGTCTCCTGGCTTCAGCCTGGCCTAGCCCTGATCATTGTAGCCATATGGAGAGTGAACCAGCAGATGGAAGCTATCTCTCTGTCTATCCCCCCACCCCCATAACCCTACCTCTCAAATAAATAAATGAATTTTAAAAAATACAAAAAAAAATAGTGCAGAAAAGGCTGGAAGGAGCAGAAAATGGGAAGATTGTGGTTAAAGGGTACAAAGATTCCAAAGTGCCAAGTAACTTCTGTAGCTCTGTTTGCAGGACAGCACCTATGACTGACAATACTGTACAGTATACTTAGAATTTGCTAAGACTGTAAATCTTACGCTAAATACTTTCTTTTTAAAAAGGCATTTTTTCTTTTTTTTTTTTTTATTTGACAGAGTTAGACAGTGAGAGAGAGAGAGAGAGAGGTCTTCCTTCCATTGGTTCACCCCCTAAATGGCTGTTACGGCCGGAACTATGCCAATCCGAAGCCAGGAGCCAGGTACTTCCTCCTGTTCTCCCATGTAGGTGCAGGGGCCCAAGCACTTGAGCCATCCTCCACTGCCCTCCTGGGCCACAGCAGGGAGCTGGACTGGAAGAGGAGCAACTGGGACTAGAACCCAGCGCCCTTATGGGATGTCGGCGCCACAGGCAGAGGATTAACCAAGTGAGCCATGGCACCGGCCCCTTATGGTAAATCTTATGTTAAATGTTCTTGTTAACCCTGAATCTCCCCAGCCAATAACAATAAAAATAAAGGAGTGGGAGGTGATGGTATTATGGCCTTAACAGTGGCAATGGTTTCCCAAGTGTACACGTATCCACAAATTCATCACTACGCACATTACATATGTACAGCTTTTTCTATGTGTCTCATCATATTTTCATAAAGAAGTTAAAAAACAATCAGGAGATGCTGGCCATGGTGCTCACTCCAGATCTTTGAAATGATCTATTATTTGGGCGTCAATTCTTTAGTCACTGGATGATGGAGCAATCTGACAGGTTCTAAAGCAGGGTGTGGGTATCAGGGTGTGGAGGGAGCCAATTGCAGGGCCTGGGATAATGATTATTCACCAATTGAAATTTCACTATTTTAACAATTTTAACAATCCTTACAGCTGAGCTGATGAGTACCAAATGACAATCAGCCTTGTCTGTTTTATCATCATCATCATCATCATCATCTGGTTTTGTTATCGTTAAATTATCCATTAACTGTTAGTATTCAAGGATAAGAGAATTTTCACTTACAAAGCTGCCTCCCAGAGTCTGAATTAGCAGGAAGCTGGAGTCAGGAGCAGGAGCTCAGAATCAAACCCAACTGCTGGGTTTGGGATGCAGGCATCCTAACCAGCATCTTAATGGCTAGGCCAAATGATTAGCCTGGAGTCAGTGATTTTAAGGTGAGGTTTGAAGTCTATTAAAGTCAATGACATCTCTTTAAGCTATAAATTATCCCTTGTCAGGACCTGAGTGAATCAGGTCTTTGGTGTGGATTAGTCCTAGGAATGTTTCATTAAAATCTCCACACAGATAGCAGCGGGAAGTGACACTCTGACTTGACTCATCTTTTCCCAGAGATGACACGCCTGTCCTTTATGCCACAAACTGTATCTACAGCTTCTCTCACTTTCAACCTTAATTACAGGAGTGGCTTGTCTATTTGTCTTCAAATCTGAATCACCTCCTTGAGGCTGTGTGCTGGCAGAGGTCAGTCCTTCCTGAAGTCTTGTTCAGCGTCTGTCACGGCGCTGACAACCTTGGAGGCTCTCACACTAACAGTCGTCTCCGCCTGGCAGACTTTCCTCCAGGAGTCTGCATTCCCAACTCTTTTTTCTTTCCCCCTAAGTGAGGCCTACACATCTCAGTATATGATTTTCCCCCCAGAAATCAGAGATATATTTCTGACTCTGCTCAGTGAAGAGGGAGTTGTATGTTTTACACAACAACAATGATGACGGTAAGAAGCAGAATAAATGTTTATTCCTTAATTCTTCGAATATTTCTGAGCTGCTATTAACAAAAGTTGTGGTAGGCTTTGGTGAAAGAGTTACATACATTCATTATGAGACTTGAAGTCTTATATGATAGACATGGGTAGAGAGGTGCAGAAGTGACATAGGGAACAGAAGACGGTGAAGGGAGAACTATTAAGCCAGATACCACAGTGCACAACTGAAATTTAATCCCGTGGGAAATGGAAAAAATCATAATATACATGTCTCAGGAGGATGCCTCCCAAAGGCCAGTGAGTTAGGGGCATTTATACATCAATTCCAGAGACTCCTAGGCTGAGTGCTACTGCCAGTGGCTGTTAATATTTCAGCATTTACATTCTGTAGGGAAAACACTTTGAGGGTTCCAAGCAAAGCTCCCAGGATCAGAGTTACAAAAATTGGTTGAACTCCCCAGAATGAGAGAATCTGAAGGAAATAGATAGGGCACTGATAATATCTACTGTAAAGACAAATGACAACCATGGCAAGGTTTCTAAGGAGAGATGTATTTAGTAGGGTGATTTGTCCTGGTCATGTTAACTCAAAAACTGTAAATATGTGGCTTGTCAGGTCTCTTAATTTCTTTTTAACAATTATTTTGCTTTAGGCATTCATTTGAGATAGAGATGGAGGGAGAGAAGGAGAGAGAGAGAGCGAGAGAATGAGATAGAGAATGAGAGAGAGAGAGAGAGAGAGAGAGAGAGAGAGAAACCCTCATCCTCTGGTTCATTCCCTAAATGTCCACAATGGTTGGGAAAGGCCAGGCTGAAACCAGAAGCCAGGATTTCAATCCAAGTCTCCTCCAAGGGTGGAAGGAACCCAAGTACTTGGGCCATCGCCGCTGCTTCCCAGAATGTGCATTAGCAGGAAGGGAGCTGGAATCAAGAGTGGAGACATAACTCAAAACCAGGCCCTGTGATATGGGATACATCCAACCAGTGTCTTAATCACTATGCCAAACACTCATCTCTCATCAGGTCTTTTAAAATGTTGAGGTGAGTGACTTACCAGTTAGAGGTAGAGCCAAGATTTGAACCCAAGATTCAAAGCCAGAACCTGATGCTTAGTCCACCACTCTACTTTTTTCCATATATAAACTCATCATTTCTTGGCAATATTCAGAGTAAAACAACAGGCAGACCAGAGAGGATCAAATAACAATGTGGACATAGCCCAGGAAAGCCTCCTTCAACATTGTGCAATTAGAGCTTGCCATCTTTGGATTCCTGTTACTTCATAATGATTTTTTCAACAGTAGTTCTGTGTATTCCAGGAGGTAAAGAGGAGCCAAAAATTCCTCCAAGGGAGAAGACATCATCATTTTTGCCTCTGCCTTTTCATTAACTCTTAGAGCAGATTTCCAGCCCACAAACGTTCAGGAAGCTAATAAAGGTATCTGGCCACACTTTCAAATACTGCTCATTTTCGTTTCATGAGCTGGACACAATTTTTCATGACTGATTATGCTCAGTGCTCCAATATTGCTATTATGTAACCATCTGCAACAAAAATATTCAGTGACAATGCATCCAAAGATAATAGTGCCAGAGAATTAGAACCAAATAGAATGTCCTGTTTCATAGTGAAAATAAATCCCTTTCTGAACATGGACATCTCAGGAGGGATAAAATCTGGTTTTAGATGCTCCCTCAAGCTGAATGGTTTAACAGACATAAAAGAGATATTTCTGGATCTTTTCCTGAGTAAACAAAGGCCAGCTAGAAGTTAATTAGAGGTTGGAACCCCTGGGAAGGACAGCTTGAAGAGAACCAAGGTCATTCACGCCTGTGTGTCTATGAACAGATGAACAGATAACAGCTTATTTGTGTAGATGCTGTATTGCTTGTTTAAAAACAGGCAAATTAGCAAATGTTTACTGAGTGTCCAAGTTTTCCCTAAGACTATCTTACCATTTTTACACAGGATAGCAGAGACCTTTGAAATTAGATCTGATGCTGTTAATTTGTAATGCCTTTGTTTGGAAAAAAGATTATGGTTAATCTTTGAAAAAGTTTTTTTTTTTAAGTTTTTTTTTTATCTTTTATTTAATGAATATAAATTTCCAAAGTACGACTTATGCATTACAATGGCTTCCCCCCCATACTGTCCCTCCCACCCACAACCCTCCCCTTTCCCACTCCCTCTCCCCTTCCATTCACATCAAGATTCATTTTCGATTATCTTAATATACAGAAGATCAGTTTAGCATACATTAAGTAAAGATTTCAACAGTTTGCTCCCACACAGAAACATAAAGTGAAAAATAATAGATGATTTTTTAAATGATGATGAAATCAGATCAGACCTATTGTCGTGTTTAATCCCAACGAGAGTCAAGTTGGGAATTAATAATTTCTTCTTTTTTTTTTTTTTTTTTACAGAAGATCAGTTTAGTATACATTAAGTAAAGATTTCAACAGTTTGCACCCCCATAGAAACACAAAGTGAAATATATTGTTTGAGTACTCGTTATAGCATTAAATCTCAATGTACAGCACATTAAGGACAGAGATCCTACATGAGGAGTAAGTGCACAGTGACTCCTGTTGTTGACTTTACAAATTGACACTCCTGTTTATGGCATCAGTAATCTCCCTATGCACCAGTCATGAGTTTCCAAGGCTATGGAAGCCCTCTGAGTTCACCGACTCTTATCTTGTTTAGACAAGGTCATAGTCAAAGTGGAGGTTCTCTCCTCCCTTCAGAGAAAGGTACCTCCTTCTTTGAAGACCTGTTCTTTCCACTGGGATCTCACTCACAGAGATCTTTCATTTAGGCTTTTTTTTTTTTTTTTTTTTTTTTTTTTTTTTTGCCAGAGTGTCTTGGCTTTCCATGCCTGAAATACTCTCATGGGCTTTTTAGCCAGATCCGAATGCCTTTAGGGCTGATTCTGAGGCCAGAGTGCTGTTTAGGACATCCGCCATTCTATGAGTCTGCTGAGTATCTCGCTTCCCATGTTGGATCACTCTCCCCTTTATTTATTCTATCGGTTAGTATTAGCAGGTACTAGACTTGTTTATGTGCTCCCTTTGACTATTAGTCCTTTCATTATGATCAATTGTGAACTGAAATTGATCACTTGGACTGGTGAGATGGCATTGGTACATGCCACCTTGATGGGATTAAATTGGAGACCCCTGGTATGTTTCTAACTCTACCATTTGGGGCAAGTCAGCTTGAGCATGTCCCAAATTGTTGCATTCTTAATTTAGATACACGATTTTTTAAACTATTATTTAATGAATATAAATTTCCAAAGTACAGCTTATGGATTACAATGGATCCCCCCCCCCATAACTTCCCTCCCACCCGCAACCCTCCCCTTTCCCACTCCCTCTCCCCTTCCATTCACATCAAGATTCATTTTCAATTCTCTTTAAATACAGAAGATCAGTTTAGCATATATTAAGTAAAGATTTCAACAGTTTGCACCCACATAGAAACACAAAGTGAAAAATTCTGTGTGAGTACTAGTTATAGCATTAAATCACAATGCACAGCACATTAAGGACAGAGATCCTACATGAGGAGTAAGTATACAGTGACTCCTGTTGTTGACTTAACAAATTCACATTCTTGTTTATGACATCAGTAATCACCCTAGGCTCTTGTCATGAGTTTCCAAGGCTATGGAAGCCTTTTGAGTTCACCGACTCTGATCATATTTAGGCAAGGTAGTAGTCAAAGTGGAAGTTCTCTCCTCCCTTCAGAGAAAGGTACCTCCTTATTTGATGACCCGTTCTTTTCACTGGGATCTCATTCACGGAGATCTTTCATTTAGGTCATTTTTTTTTTGCCAAAGTGTCTTGGCTTTCCATGCCTGAAATACTCTCATGGGCTTTTCAGCCGGATCTATATGCCTTAAGGGCTGATTCTGAGGCCAGAGTGCTGTTTAGGACATCTGCCATTCTATGAGTCTGCTGTGTATCTCGCTTCCCATGTTGGATTGTTCTCTCCCTTTTTTATTCTATCAGTTAGTATTTGCAGACACTAGTCTTGTTTATGTGATCCCTTTGGCTCTTAGTCCTATCATTATGATCAATTGTGATCAGAAATTGATCACTTGGACTAGTGAGATGGCAATGGTACATGCCGCCTTGATGGGATTGAATTGGAATCCCCTGGAATGTTTCTAATTCTACTGTTTGGGGCAAGTCAGCTTGAGCATGTTCCGAATTACACATCTCTTCCCTCTCTTATTCCCACTCTTATATTTAA